TGGTCTTGCTAATTTTCTTATTATTAGCCCTAATCCTGTGATTGCAAATGGGGAAGATACAGCTTCTTCTGAAGAAGAAAAGGAGGATCCGAGCACAAACGTGAATGTGAGGCATGCGGTGACTGACTCTATTCTAACCGGCAATTGTCTTAAGGATTCGGAACTCCTTGGTGATCAAGAGAACAGTCATTTAACTTATCCAGTGAATGGTTCAAATTCTTATCACAGTCATGATGATGATGATGATGACGACAGTGAGGAACCTGATGCTTTAGGGGTTGATGATAATTCTGTACCTACCATATATTTTTGTCATACTGTCGAACCAAAAAGGGTTAGTATATTTTTAATTTGAGTATTTTGTATAGAACTAGAACATTAAACATCATTTATAATATTCTTTTAGTAGTGTTGTTATTGTGTACCATCAAGTTGGAAGTGACCCTTAGCTGACCCTCCAGCAGATTTTCAGAGACACTAAATTACACCAGTGGAGATTGCCCATCCTCCTGCAGAGCAACTGGTGAATTCGAACTGCAAGCCCTTGGGATTGTAGCATAGTTTCTTACCAGTAGGCCGCTAGAGCTCCCTTTTAGTAGCATTGATTAATATTGCTACAAGAAAACTACCTCTTGTTGTGACCAGTTTATCTTTTTAAGATTAAATAAAATGTCTAGTTAATAAATTAGTATTGGTTCTTTATTCTCCATAGCCACAGTAGAATTTGAGGGGCTTTGGAGTCTGGCAGGGATCATATTCAGAGGTAACTACTGTCACTCCTCTTGTCGCTTATCTCGAGAATTTTCTTAAAAATCCTCAAGTTAATCTTGTGGGTGGTTCAGTGTGTTTAGGAAATTGAAAGTGACAGCATTAGTTAAATTTTTAATTACACCAGGTTGTTGTTTTCTATGTGGCCATAAAATGAATAGGAACATCATGAGCAAAAAGGAAAATTCTAGGAGGAAGTGAAAATTAGTTCCTTTTCTGACGAAGTAAATATAAACATCTGTGAGTAATCATAACTTTAGAATTTTGGCATTTTAGAGTTTAGCGTTGACTGTAGAGATCTTACACAGGATTTTCAAGCCTTTCTTTGATACCAGAAGCTATTTGTTTTCCCCATGCTTATTGTAGAATCTCAGTATTTAAAATAGGTCAAAGTGAGGTGACTGGTTGAAGGACAGATAAGCTCTTCTAAGTGCATGCCATTGTCCTCCTTCTCTTTGCTCCATACACTACTTTCGGGCACCCAGGGAATTCATCAATCTCAGGGAAACTTGAACAGGCCTAGGAGACCATAGAAGGAGCTCTGGTAGCCTAGTGCCTCAGGAATTGCACTTCCACCCCAAAGGCAAGTGGTTTAAATTCACCAGCTGCTCCATGGGAGAGAGATGGGCAGTCTCCTTCTGTGCGATTTACAGCCTCTGAAAACCTGCTGGAGAGCCAGCTCTTAGTCACTTCTGACCCGATGACACACAGCAACAGAAGACCTGGGGCTGGTCAGTAGTGAAGTATGGACTTCTTTGTCTTAGTGTTCCTCTCACAGGGTGTCATTGCAGGCAATTGTCTATTATCAGACACAGGGCTTTGTGATTATTACTTAATGAAATCCCTGAATTCCCTAAATTTTCTTTATTCTAATATGAAGTGTATCTTACTCTAAATCTGAACATTCAGATCAAGAGAGACTAGGAAGAAGGATTGGCCACCCACTTCTGAAATAGCAGGCCTCTGAAAACCCTATGCACAACAGAACACACGCAGATTAACAGAAAGGGCAACATAGGTAGAACTATCAAGTATGGAAATACAAAGGAGGAGGAACAGTTGTAAGCAGACCCTAGTGATTGGTACATGGAATGTGAGAGCCATGA